AACCTCTTCTATAGAAGAGGTTCCACAAATCTACAGTGCCGTTTAGAACCAGTTCCAGCTCCCTCCCCCCACCCGTCCGCACATCATCAAGATGAAGAGTGAGAGGAGGAATTCTGGGAGTTGAAGTCTTTTATGGTTGAGCAGAGATCTAACCTGGGTTTCTCAAGCCCAACAACTTAATCTCTACATCTCAATGACTTGCTTCCATTCTTGAAATTCTCTAGTTTTAGGCACAAAGATGGAATTTATGAAAAAATGCTGTGCATTTGTGCTTGATGTAAGAACACCCTGGATGATGAATAAACTGCACGCCATTTCTTTTCAGCATTTGGCTGGTGTAGAGTTTATTTAATTAATTTATTAAATGTATATGCCGCCCATCTCACTACTCCTTAAGTGAAGACGTAAGAGAGAAAGGATGACTCACGTTGAAGTATTTCCATTGACCCATTTCCAGGGTTGGTTCGGGTCTCGATGGAGGCCAATCCAGTGGGAAATGCTATCTTTGTAACGCTGCACAAAATCCTTTGGACAGAATAAATGTTAAATTACATTAAATCACTCTGAAATGTTTACAGACCCCCAAGTATGTTTTAACCATTTACCCATTTCCTCAATAATCAAATCACCAACATTTAGAGTCTATAATATTGTTTGATTATATATTATGTAGGAGTTCATACAAGGATACAAAGACCATTTGCTCCATTTTCCCTAAAGCATTCCAGAACAAGAATTCAGTATGTCTTCAGCTCCTTAAGCCAGCTCCTGTCCCAGAATCCCAAGAAAAGATGCAGCTATTTTAAATAGTTGGAGAGAGCTGCTGTGTCTACACCCCATAGACTTCAAAGGCCCCTTTTAGAGTCAAATCAGAGTGCTAATCAGTCCTAATATCAATGACTTCAATATATCCCAGTAGAGGTTGCAAAGCGACTGTGCTTTTTTCTCTTGCTTCCTTTCCCTGAAGGGTTTTCTCCACCCAGGAGAAAAAGGAGCTGTTACCTTTAAAAGGGGTGCAGCTATTTAAAAAAAGGAGAGGCTGGTGTGTTTACTGGACTCAGTTCCAGAACACAGAACAAAAAGAAGTGAAAAAGCTACAGTAGAAAAAAAGCTGGAAAGATGAAATCTGGAAAAAAAGTAACTTTAGACTAGAATAACAGAGTTGGAAGGGACCTTGGAAGTCATCTAGTCCAGTGGTCCCCAACCTTTTTATCGCCGCGGACCAGTCAGCCTTTGATAATTTTACC